AGACCAGCCCAGGCAAGCATGGAATTCATGCTGGTCGATGCTGTTTTTTTTAGCAGATAGTAATACAAAATGTAAGGCTGTGATGGGTGAAGGCGCTGAGGTGTGGCCTTCTCATGCCTTTTATCCCACCCAATCTATATCTTTTTCAAAAGGTATGTATATTATGAAAGTACCGTACCATCAGCGAAGAAGATGATGTGGGAAACATTAAGGCGAATGCTCTTTTATTGAACAGGCAGTGACCAAAAAACGCCGCTCAGCGCTGCTGAAACGGCTGAGTTAGCAGGCAGGTCCTAACACGTCCCCTTCACGGCAGATACTGACACCACACTGACAGCACTTCCTGAGAGCTGCTTTGCATGGCCACGTCTCCTGCACTCCTACGGCTATGCGGCCAGTGGCAGGACGCTGCAGTACAATATTGGAGTCTTTAGAATAGCACAACAGTGAAGTCCAGCCTGATCCACTCATATTGATTTCCTAGCAGCAAAGAAACACTGGATAAACCCACATGGAAAAAATATATTCTAAATATAATTATCAAATATATTTTTGCAATGTATGAAAATGACCACAAAATATATATATACATATACACACATATATACATATATGTATATATATATATATGAGAGAGAGAGAAATATCGCTGTTGTTGGAAGAAAACCTCGTATCTTCTTTTTTTAAGCTCTTGACATAATTTAATTTAATTAACCTGGTACTCTTTACATTGTGTGTAAATTTCATGATGAATGGACTAAAAGAAACGACCCAAAATGACTTGTAATCACAAGCTAACATGCTAACTGGGCGCTAATGTGCTAACAGCAAACAACTGCTCCTGGGTTCCTGCACAGTTTTTAAAATCAAATTAATTGCTTTTCAATTCCTTTTTTTAAGCTTAGCATGTATTACCTATTTACATATTTTATTTAAACTATTGGTTAGAAAAACATGGAGATTGCATGATTCTTACACAATCTGTTCAGTGTGTTCAACTTCCAGTCTTGCAGTGCTAGTCCTTTATTAGCGGTCAGTTTTGACCACAGGGCTGCTGTCGGCTGGATAATTTGGTTGCTGGATCGTTCTGGATTAGTTTAATATACTTTTGGAAAGTGTTGCAGGCATTACATTCGAGATAAGTGTATATGTAAAAATAATTAATGAGGAGTTTTTGTACTGTTTTCAATTTTAAACAGGTCAAAGAAATGTACTAATCACTGATCACTTAAACTGATCAAGCCTTAAAGCACTCAACTGTCACACTGGGCAGCAAAATTCAACATTAAGGCAGATATTAGCATCTCTCTCGAGCAATGCTGTCATACACAGGCCTCTCTGCCTGTATTCTCTATCAGCTGACTCAGACCAGCTAATTACTGCGCTGTTCTCTGACCACTTCACTGAATTTGGACAGGAATCTAGTAAATTAGTCCTGCAATTTATGGAGCTCTCACTGAGGTCGGGACAGATTAATTTCCATACTGCAGGTAATTTATAAATGAAGGCTCATTATGTATTCTCAATCAATAAATGACTTCATTGTTAAAATGCCTCTCTTAGTTAGGGGTCTATGGGAGAGCTGTGCACTTCAGTAACACTAAGATAAGAGCTGGTGGGTAAAGACTTGACTCATACAGCAGAACATGAATCAACAGACAACGTTTCTAAAAGAGAGTTTCGTTTAAAATGATATTATAGGCCATTTTCAGGTTTCTTTTTTTCCTGCAATATTACATACAACAACATCAGCTCCTACTGTCTTCAAAAACATATCGCTGTTGTCGGAAGAAAACCTTGTATCTCCATTTTTGTCATAATTTGAAAGTACCTGTTACCCTTTACATTGTATGTAAATTTCATGATGAATGGACTAAAAGAAACGACCCAAAATGACTTGGAAAAAAGTCTGGTTCCATTGATTTCCATTGAAAGTAAAGTAGTTTTTTCCTTCTCCTGTAAAGTTACCATTTTCGAGGTTTTCTTCCGACAACAGTGATATACAAAATTGGTACAAGTGGCCTGATTACACTAAAATATACACCAATTAGATGCCAGTTGCCTGTTGTTTATTAAGTGCACCTGTCTTGTAGGGGAGTGTGGGGTAAAATGTACCCTAGACTTTAAATGTAGTTAGAGGGGAACTGCACTGATTTTTCATTTTCTGCCCAGTTCAGTCATTGAGATGTGAATAACGTCATTCAGAGTGCTCTCTTAATAAAGATGGTTCTTTAAGGGTTTTAAAATTAGGACAAAGCTGCTATATAGAACCATGAGCACTCAAAGAACCCTTTGCATGCTTAAAGAGTTCTTTGCAATGTGAAATGGTTCTTCAGATTGATGGAGAATGTGTGTATGTGTAGGTTCACTGGTGGTTCTGGACAGTCAATAAAATGTCTATATTTGTGTTGTAGTCATGGCGACCCCTGGTTCCTATCACCACCACTGTAAAGACATCTGAACCATTTCACACCAAACCACTCTGAATCTCTCTGTTTACACCTCACACACTGATGGAAAATTGGTGGAGTTAATTAGAAGATTATTAGAAGAAGATTAGAATTTCTTAAAAATGGTTGGTAAATGAGGCCTGTACTATATTGTGTGCACCCATTAATGATACAGGTGTTCAGCTTCTATAAACTCCATAGAAAAGCACTGTCCAATAGAATGGGACGCTCTGGAGCAGCTGTACATGACCCTAAGGTCACAATGTCCAACGCCAAGCATGGGCTACAGCTGTATACAGCCCCCCCAGCATTGTGCTTGGGCTGTGGAGCAGTGGAACTGCGTTCTCTGGAGTGATGGAGCTCCATCCAATACGTTTGGGATGAGGGCCTGGCTCACAATCTCTGTTCTAGTTCATCCCAAAGGTGTTTGATGGGGTTGAGGTCAGGGCTCTGTGAGGGCCAGTCAAGTTCTTCCACACCAAACTCACCCAGTCAGGCCTTTATGGAGCTGCTTTGTGCACTGGGGCTCAGTCATGCTGGAACAGGAAAGGTTCTTCTCCAAACTGTTCCCACAAAGTTGGAAGCGTACAATTATCCAGAATGTGAAGTGGTGCTGAAGCATTAAGGTTTCCCTTCACTGGAACTAAAGGGTTCTAGACCAACCCCTGAAAAACAGCCCCATAGCATCATCCCTCCTCCACCAAACTTTACAGTCAGGCAGGTAACGTTCTCCTGGCATTCGCCAAACCCAGACTCGTCCATCAGACTGACAGATAGAGAAGCGTGATTGGTCACTGTACAGAATATGTTTCCACTGCTCCAGAGTCCAGTGGCGCCGCTTTACTCCACTCCAATCTGACGCTTGGCATTGTGCTTGGTGATGTAAGGCTTCATGCAGCTGCTCAGCCATGGAAACCCTGCCATGAAGCTCCCAGTGCAGTTTCTGTGCTGATGTTGAGGCCAGAGGAGGTTTGAACTCTGCAGTTATTGATCTGCAGAGCGTTGGTGACTTTTATGCTCTGTGCTCCTCAGAACTCAGAGACCCGCTCTGTAACTTTACGTGGTCTGACACTTCGTGGCTGAGTTGCTGTGGTTCCTAAACACTTCCACATTTCAATAATACACTCAGAGCTGATCGTGGAAAATCAAGAAGGGAAGAAATTTCATGATCTGACCACAATCTAATTCAGTGAGCTCTTTAGACCCATTCTTTCACTAATGTGTGTAAAGGCTGACTGCATGGCTAGCTGCTTGATTTTATACACCTGAGGCAGTGAAACTGAATTAAACACCTGAATTCAGTCCCAATACTTTTGTCCACATGGTGTATGTTTCACAATCCACTTGATATGTCATAACATGCAGACTGTGGCTGAATTAGGGTGTTGATTTGACTCATTTAGGACATCCTGGACATGATTACATCATTGACCTTAATACTTCAGAGTGCGTGCCTCGGCTTAAATAGGGTGCTTGTTTTCCACTTCTAACAGAGTCAAAACTCTTCTATTGTGGCTCTGTTTTATAGGCAAATCTCTTTTTGTTTGCAGTGCTGTTCTGTAGCATTCTGAGAAAAGCTTGCGGCACTGTAAAAAAAAGCCAAAGCCTTCATTTATTCAATGTCCATTAAGTACAAGTTATTCATTTTGCAGGAGATCTTTCTGAGAAGATTAGATACAAGATAAACAACTTAAGAGCAGAAAGTTGAAGTGAAAAGCAGGAGTTTCCAAAAGCTACAGAGAAAATGAGGCTCCTAACAACCACCTGGAAGACCTGGTAGACACCAAAACTGCCCCCACCAGATAAACAGCACTGAAAGCTTTCATCTCTGAGAGAGAGGAGAAAATCAAGCTGCTTCAGATCTGAAAACATCCACAGGTGTTTCTGTCCATCCTTCCACTGTGAGAAGACGACTCAGCGCTGTGGGTCTGAAAGGATGTGTAGCTGATCAAGAAGAGCCTCACTGAGAAAAGGAGACGGACACATCAAACAAAGAAGCTGAACAATGGACTGACCACCCCAGAGTCCAGACCTCAACACCACTGAATGTGTTTGATTACTTCAGAAAATGATCAACCAGCTTCTAAGACTGAACTTTGGAGGTGTGTCTACAGATTCTTTGAGGAACTGAAAGTGAGTCTCCTGAACAGAATGGAAGCTGGAATAAAGGTAAAGAGTGACTCACTGACTCTCACAGCTGAGAGTAGATTTAGCTGTTGAGGCTTCTGTGTGATTTTCTGTTGAATATATTAAATAAATTTAAATAAATAAAGGGTGGTCTTGGGCATCTGCACAGTACCGTACTTCTTTTCTGAGGAGATTTCACCAAGTCAGGTCTAAAATCTTGAATATAGCTTTAAACTCTAAGGCAAATCAAAACATTGTGATAATTTGTGACTTATGAGGTTATTAGCTGATACTTACGGCTGCTTAGACCAACACAGATTTCCCCTAACAATAAAAATCTTCCTTAAAATAGTGTTCAGACGCTCTGGCTTGTGGTTGCGTCTGCACCCAAAGGTGGAACAAAACTGAAACCAAAACGGTGCATAGGGTGTTTGGATGATATTTTAATAATTTGTGGATACATTTGTTTAAAACATAAACCATGCTGGTAGTAAAATATGTTCTAAACAACACCAATTAATGTAAAACGATGTATCAAAGTGAAGCCAATTGGAATATGAAAACAGGGAGCACTCTCCATAGAAAAATAGAAAAAAAAATATGCTTTAAATATGTCTATGAGATCATTTTACCAAATCTATCAAACTAGCTTTGCTTGTGTAAGCAGCAGGACAGCAACACGTGGATCTGTGACTCATTAAATGCTATGCCAGCTTTCTTCATCTGTTTGTAAGTGACCAAAAATGTCCTCATGAAATGAATGAAAAGGTTAAAATAGTTTTGGAGTTAAAATAAATCGATCAAAAATTCAAAGAACTGTGTTGGATACATTTAGAAACAACCCCAGCTGCAGATTTAGACATCACAATAAAACCCAAAATAGTAAAATCTGTTCTAAAATCTCTTTTGGGGAATAATCCATCACAATTATCCGGTGAACTTATCATGTTTGGCATTTCACCGACTTAAAAATGAAGAACACCGCATTTCTTTTATGGCTACAAACGACGTCATGTCTCTAAAGTAAACATGCCGTTTTCGAAAATTACCCCTGAGGTGCTGCATGAACCCTCTGTGTGGGACATGATGGCGTGACTGCATAGTGAAAATCGATGCTACATGTGAATTTTGTGTTCTGGAGCTGAATGGAAACCTCTGGTTCCAGCGCTCACACAAGCAAGTGTAGTTTGTTGGCTAAGAGCCGTCGCGTGGAGGAAGTGCTCCTCTTTCAGAAGGGTGGAGAGCTCGAGTCCTTGGCCAGGGAGGAGACGTACGCTTGATAGATCGTGTCGAGGAAAGATGCGTCGTTCTGTGCAAAGAAACACAAAGACAAACCGCAACAGATTACAGTCAAGCATTAAAGTCTTACATGTAAAGACGTAGGAGATCTCAAAGGAAAGTGTTTCAGAAGCCACATCAAAATAGAGGCTTCTGATTATTTTGCTTAATGCTGTAATCACGATATTTCATCAGCCAATTTACGTATAAAATAGTTTTATTGCACTTTAGTATTTTAAATGAACAGAAAACTCCTTTTTGGTGGCCAATGCAAAAAGCATTTTCAAGAGCAATTAAAATAACTGACTGGGGGCTGAAAATAACCGATAATATCATCCAACACAATTTTTTTTATTTTTGAATATAATATATATTTATCTTACATTTTAATGTTCTGCTCTAATGTTTTAGTTAAACAATGCTTTACTAACAGAAATGGTTATTAGTTCTCAATTGTCACATATTTTGAACTCAAACAAACAGGAAATAATATAAATATCACAGCACTGGGTGTGGAGCTGTCCAGAATCCTTGTTGCTTTGGTTTCTGTTTATCACCTCTTATTATTAATTTATTTTCTTCATAAAAACAGCTTTGTTGTTTTATAAATGCATGTCCCATGCTAAGGATGTGGTTTGGATGCATTTTGTTAATTTTGTTATTTTGTTCAGTTGAAACAGGACTCACTATTTGCTGAATGCTTGATGTTAATGTGCATGTAAACCTGGCAAAACTCCAGTTAGCAGGCTAGCCTTTTAGCATCCACATTGCTTTTGCTGCTGTTATACTTTCAACAGAAAAGCAGGACAAAAAGACTTCAGGAAAAAAACTGAACGCCTGCACTGATTAGCGTCGCGCTGAGTGATGGGAGGAGATGGGGGCCATCCTGCCCACCCAGAGAGCGAGGCCAATAGTGTTCTCTTGGACTCCCGGCCACGGACGGCTGCAGCATCACCAGGGATCGAACCCGCGATCTGATGACAGGGTCAACGCTTAGACGGTTGCGCCACTCGGGAGCCCAAATACTGCCAGATATTTGAACTGCCTCCCAGGTGTTAACATCAACATGGGATGTCGGCGTTCATGAACTGAAATAACTCATTTAACAACCGGTCCAAAACCTGAAAGTGACAACGAGACAGTGAAGTGATGAGAAGGGATTGTCTGCAGCAGGCAAACTAATCTGAGCTGCACGCCGATGACTGGTCAAGCTCGCAACCCAGATGTTAAGAAGAGCCATTTTGTCTTTGCAACAAAAATCAAACCACCTTAAAAGCCACAACATTTTATGTCCACTTTACCATCTTGGCTGTAAACATGTCTCAGTATGTGCTAATAGTGTACTAGTGTAGGCTAACAAATTTAATATTAAATGATAACACAGACTCACTTTGCTCTGCTTTAATCTTTAGCTCAGCTATAGCCGCTTTTCTCGCATCTCTATCAGGAAAGTTTTCAGCAAAAGTAGAATTTCTTGTAAAATGTCTCTAAACGTTCGACTTTTTACGAGGCTTAAGTCAGCTTCTCATTCGCCAGATTCTTGTTCGAATTTTCCCATTCCACCTTAAATGGTGCCTGAGGTGCCGGAATGTAACTACTGCACCATTTAAGGTGGAACGGGAGAATTCGAACAAGAAGCTGGCGAATGTGAAGCGACTTCAGCTTTGTGACTTTTTCAGTGTTTGACAGTTTCTTGTAGCAGATTAAACTTATATATTTAAGCCTGTAAATTCAAATCAGTCCATTCGTCTCCTAATTATCAATGTTTGTCTTAAATCTCTCTCTTTGCCGTTTCGTTAGCTACTAGCTAGGCGAGATTGTTGTCAGTGTTGCTATGGTGACCAGCAGTCTGCGCTGATCTTCAGGGTTAAAGGGTGAATCAGCAGTTCTACATTAACTCCAGAGTTTAAGACCATTTATTGTTAAACTGTGTTGAACGATCAGCAGAGCTTTATTTTACTGTAAAGGAGGATTATTTTATTTTTACCTAATAATCTGATTCTGCTGCGGAGCCACAACAGGGCAGTATAAGAGCTGCATGTGGCTCTCATGTTGCCGACTCCTGGTATCTTACCCTAAGATATTATTGGTTAGTACAACTTTCTCCCAGTCATTTGAACATAATGACGCAACCAAACATCAGGCGGCATTTAGGGGCCGCAAAAATCGGTACACTTCCATCACGGATCACGGAGAAACAAGAATTTTGTGTTTGGAATTTTATGACGCAATGGATTGTGCTTGAAATGACCAAAGACGTGAACTAACAAGATAACAAAACATCCATTTTTATTCAGGTTGACTTTAAGATGTCTGTTCATGACTGACCCTGATGAGATGCAGCAGTATGGCCTGCAGCTGAGAGCGGCTGAGAACTCGTGGCTCCTCCGGCTCCGTCCGGGGCCCCTTAGCCTGAGAGAACACGCTGGGCGACAGCAGCAGTGTGGGCGCTACTGTGGCTGGGATTCGCTGCGGCGAGTTTACCTGAAAGGGAGAAAAATAATATGTCTGAGAGAGAAATGTGTTTTCATTTAAACTTAACTCTTCCTACTTTCCTATTCCCATTAATGCTAACCAATCAGTGCTCAGCAGCAGTAATGCTAGAATCCAACTGCACAAAACATGTTTGTTGTAGAAAAACAGACACATACTGGCAGGTTTTCTTTGACTTTTTAAAAATATTATACATCCTTCTACTTTCTGCTTTAAATAAATAGCTAGAAACATGTTGAATTTTGACTCCGAGGTGCCCCTAGTGTTTTGCATTGTTGTTTTTTGCTAAAATAAGTGGCCAGACAGGCCCTTAAACTGGCTCAAGTCATCAGCTTAAGCCCAAACATTAAATAGATCCCATATGTCAAACACAATACCCGCAGGCCAGAGGCACAATCCGATCTGGCCCTCAAAATTATTTTGATTTTCTATTAATATTTGCCCATTTCACATTTCACAGTCCCCTCCACTCCCAACAACCACCTATGGGACAGCGGTTTTCTACCCAATTGCAAATGTCAAATCACCAAACACACCAGTTTTGTTTCAGCTGCAGTTCAACGAACATAAACACTATAAACACTCAGCAGCTCAGAAACGGATTAATAATTAATGAACTTGCAGGAAGGAAAAGATGTCAGGTGTTGAGATCAAGCACACAGGTAGTTTTAAAAGACCTACATCATGGGTTCATTTAACCTCTTATTCTCCAGGGTATATTTTGGTTTTTCCATCTGAATTTACATGACCAAATCGAAAGGCAAATTATTCAGTAACTGCATGAAATGAACATAAATTTTTATTTTATTTATTTATTTTTGGTAAAAGCTCCCCTCAAATTGACAGAACGTGTCTATACTTTGCTGTTGATGTTCTGAAATATAAATCTCTCTGGCCCTCGGTTTGGTTGAGATTTTTTAATATGGCCTTTTTCGTGGTTGAGTTTGACACCCCTGAAACATGAAATACCTTTGCAGGTTCTGTGGTGTTCTGGCTGGTGGGCAGGCTGTGCTGTAGAGGGGCCTTGTGGAAGCTGGGTGCCAGGCTTGGCCGGGAGTGCTCCTGCCCTCCACTCTGCTCCTGCTGCACCAGCTGCAGCTTCTGGAGAAGCTCATGGGGGGAGACCACGCCCAGCCCCACGCTGGTGCTAGAGCCAGTGGCTGGTGGAGCAACAGTGGGCACCATCACTTTTGAAGGGCTGTAGAAGAGGAGCTGGCCCTGGGCTGAGGCCGGAGCTTTCGGCGGGCTCTCGCTGAACGCCGCTGCCTCTAATCCCACCAGCTGAGGGATGAGAGGAGGAGGAGGAATGGAGGTGTAGGCGACTGTGTGGGAGGATTGAGGGGGGTTCTGGAGGAGTCTCTGTATGGGATCAGGTCGGCTCTGTGCGGGCCCGTTTTCGCACAGTCTGTTTTCGGGAGACTCCGAGACGGGCTGCAGCGGTACCACCGGCCCTCGAGGGCCGCTCATCAGCTTCTGGATGGCCGGGCAATGCTGGTTAGGGCTGCTGGATACCACAGCGCCCCCTGCTGTTGGAGACGGGTCATTGTAGGACAGGGAGCGGACCACAGCTGGCCGCCCTGAAACCGCTTTGCATGCACCAGAGCTGGGCTGTGGGGAGACAGAGTTGGCTCTGGCCTGACCTCCGAACAGAGCTGCGATTGAGAGATGCTTGGACTCCGTCTCTCCATCCTGAAGGAGACGCATATGCAAAGAGGGGAGAGCAGAAAGTGAATAAAGTACTGGGTGAAAGTGACTACACTGGTAAAAAATCAACGTTCCTGGATCATTAAGAATTGTCACTACCGAAACACATTTTCTGCACAGCTGTACACACATAAATCATCATATTTTTATTATAACAAGTACTTTTTATACTTAAGTATTTACCATAATAAAATTATGCTGATTTTATGTGTGTACAGCTGTTCGAAGCTGTGTTTACTAGTCATGTACTGAGTGTGTTTTTGAGTTCTGCTCAAAATAAGCTAAAACTGTCATTACCGAAACATCTGGTAAAATTTGGGTAGTGTTATGATTGTTTAGACAAAATGAAATGTTCAATTATTAATTTTATTAAAATAAATATAATTAAGGTATAAATCCACTCAAAGCAAATAAATTTTAGTCTAAAGTCCAGGATCAGTCCTAAACATATTTTCAACTCTGAACTAATTTGGTAGAACCATCCATTCAATGTTAAAAAAAATGTTTATGTTTCTTTGATGCATAGCGATGCGGACGTGAACGATTCTGAACCGATTCATTCAACGTCAAAAATCGATTTTCTAAATATTTAATTTATAACGTAATATTGACGGAACGCAAAAGGCGGAACTGGAAGTGGGTAAGTGCAGCGCCCGGACAGTCTGTGGCGGCACATAACAAAAACACTACTGGATGAGTGAGAAATCCGACCGGCTCCCTCTGCATTAAAGCCAGGTTAGATCAGGAGTCACAGCACAAATGATAAGAAGAGCCATTTTGCCTTTCAACGAAGTCAAACCACCTTGGGAGCCACAACATTTAATGTCCAGTATGTCTCAGTATGTATTAATGTCCGAGTATAGACTAAACAATATAAACGAGAGCGCAGATTTACTTCGCTCTATTTTAAGCTTCAGCTATAGCCGCTTTCCTCCCATCTCCGCCAGGAGACTTTTCTTCAAAACTAGAAGAGTTTCTTGTAAAATGTCTCAGCGTCCGGCTGTTTTACGAGGCTGAAGTCGCTTCTCATTCTCGTTCTAATTTTCCCGTTCCACCTTAAATTCTGCCTTAGGCGCCGAATGTAACTGCTGCACCATTTAAGGTGGAACGGGAAAATACGAAAGAGAAGCGAGTTCATTTTCGCAACTTTTTAGAGAAAGACGGTCTCTCAGCAGATTTAACCAACCGCGCTGCTTATAAATGCGAATAAGTCTCCAAATGTTCGTCTTAATCTGTTTCTTCGTTCGCTACTGGCGAGGCCAGACCTCGGGGCTGCGTGACCTGCTGTCTGCTGTCTGTCCTCAGTCGTTGAGAACCAGGGCTTTCGCGCTATGCTGCACACTTTGGAGCCGAGATTCAGCGTCCAGTCTCGAAAATACCCATTTGAGCAAAAAATCGGATTTGAGCAACGAGGCTTGTCATGTAAACATAGCTATAGTGTTTTCAAGTCATCCCAGTTACTAACTAAAGGCTACATCATTTTTTTCTTGCTTAGCACTTATAATAGTGGGTGGCTTTGAAGCATTTAATTGTTTTTTCATTAGAAAAACAATATAAAAAATACAAAAACAATACGTCTCATTTCCTTGAGAAACTGAGAGCACCACAAACGCAGCTGTATCTATATTAATCTTTGCCAAATCATTACTGTAATCCAATCTTGAGCATGCAAACGCATGTTTAATTACACTTTCTCTCACGATATTAAAACTCATGCAGGTGAATACGAGTTTAACTGTCGGTGAATAAAAGGTTCTGCTGTGTTTTTTTAATTTGCTGCAGAGATGAAAGTACCTGCTGGTTGTGGCTCTGACTCTGCCTCCCGAAGTCCTGTACCGCTGTCTGCTGTCTCTCTTTTGGTTTGAGTGGAATGGGTTTGATCAGGTTGGGGTTGTCGTAGATCGACCCTCCACTGCCAATTTCCTTAGGCTCAGAGCTAAGCTTACCCTGAGGATACATACACGTACATAAACATATAAAAATGCATAGTAATTACAGTGATTATATCAAACAGCGGTGATGAGAACAAAGAGTTTCTGCAAAAACTGTAGAGAATTGATGTAAATATAACAGGGAAAATGAAGAATTGTGTTTACAATTTAAAATATATAAGCTACAGTGCACCAGTGAGCTCGGCCTGGGCAATATCTAATCAAAATTTCTTTTAAAAATTGTGATTATCAATTATATCGCCTAAAATACACAGCCTGCTGCAGCTTTGACCTACTTCCTATGCAATTTTTTAAGTGTACATGCTTTTTTTAACCATAACAGTTTTAATGAAATTTTAATAAAACTACATATGACAGAATATACTATATATATATATATATATATATATATATATATTTATATACATATATATCATTAAACTCTTTTTCCCTTTTAAACTTATATTTTAGTTAAAATGATTAATGCCACCTTAAATGGAGCAAAACCTGTTACTCTGTTCAAAAACCACATCTAAAATGGTTAAAAACGGATGTAGAGCGTTTTGGAATGAAACCCGTCACATATTCCTGATGTGTAAGCCTGTGAAACCTTCAAGCGAGTTGATTTCTTAATTGTTTTAATTTTGCCATTACAACAGTGCCCTCTGGTGGTGGCAGACCACTCGAGCGCACGCATGCACACGTGTCTGAGTGTGTGTGCTACCTTGTCGTACTCGTCGCGTGCCTTGGTGAGCATCTGCAGAATGTCCACTCCTTTCCCCTCTTTGGACTCCAGCCTTTGTGGAGACACCCAGCCGCTAGTCTGAGTCTGAGTGTGCAGCTGCTGCTCCTGCCTGGTCAGACTGAACACACACAGCACAGACAGGACAGAGAGCCCAACAAGAAAAGTACACTCTTAAAAAGGATGGTTCAAAGGTTCTTTAGTAAAGAAAGTGGTCCTGAATAAAACCATGGACATTCAAAGAACCCTTTGCATGCTTAAATAAGACAAGACAGTCCTCTATTAGTCCTCCAATGGGGGAAATTCACCGTGCAGCAAAGGGACAACAAGGTACTCAAGAAATAAGTAACAAGAAGAGAATTACCAACAAACAAGGTAATTTACCTTGCTAATTACTTAACACTGTTACAGTTTGTTACCTCATTACTGTACAGACGATAAACAGGGTGATTCAAAAAGATTCAACTAATTTCAAAATGATTTATTTCTCTTGTAAATCGTTACAGATCAATGCAGTGAACTGTAAATGGTTTAAATGAGCATAAAGTTTATTATGTAATTCTACAAGGTCTCAGTTTGAACCTCCTCCAGCTGTACAGATAACATCAACACCATAGTCAGATTCATCCCATACTGGATTGAGCGTGTCGGGTGTCGCTGCACTCTCGGCTCTTTCAGTGCGATTTCGGAGATCATCCAGTGTTGTGGAACCAACGCCGAACGCTCTGAGCTGTTGGAGCTTCACTGCCCACGAAAATCACACTGCACAGTTATGACGGATTCACTCTTATTGAAGTGGAGAACGCAGAACGCGTTCTGCTCAGGGGTCTCATCTCCTCTCAGACTGAAGGGAGCCATCTTCCACTGACAGTCAGAAACTCTACGACCCCCTCTTTCAATTGGATTGTGATTGGTTTCCCGGCGCCTCACGGTTGTAAAAATATGGCGCTTCGAAAACGGATAAATCTTTTTGAATCACACTGTATTTCGCTGTTGTCGGATCAAAACCTCATATCTCCAAAATGCTAACTTTACAGGAGAAGGTAAAAACATACTCTACTTTCAATGCAAGTCAATGGAACCAGACAAGTCATTTTGGGTCATTTCTGTTGGTCCACTCTTCATGGAATTTACACACTGTAAACAGGACCATGGGTACTTTCGATTTACGTCAAAAACTGAAAAATGACAAAAATGGAGATACAAGGTTTTGTTCCGACAGCCGCGAAAATAAACTCTATCCTTCGCAAAATTAACAATATAAAGATTATTAATACACTAACACACATTATCTAAGCCGCTTATCCTTCTGGGTTGCGGGGGGGAGCTGGAGCCTATCCCAGCAGTCACTGGGCAGAAGGCAGGAAACACCCTGGACGGGTAGCCAGTCCACATTATAAATAGAAAAGCAAAAATGGTGCTTTGCACTGTTCTTTAGACTGATGGAGAATGTACTGTATACGGTTCTATATCGAACCTTTTTTAAAGTGGTTCTATATAGCACCAAAAAGGTTCTGCTATTGCTCTACATCCTTTTGTGTTATGGCAATGTAAGAGCACCTTTTTGGTGCTAAACGGAACCATTTTTAAAATGTTTTTTTTGCTTTTTTTAAGTGTGTAGTAAAGATGTGCCTTTGTTGTTTATCAGCTAAAATGTGATCTTTTCCAAGTGTGCCAATAACTCACTGGTGCCACAGGAACATTACAGACCGACAGCACACAGTGGAACGCGGTGAGCTCCTCTGTAGACATACTTACTTTTTTGTCAGTTCTGCGATGCGCTGGCAGTCTGCCTTATCGTAGAACCAGATCCCGTAGATGGACACTGTGGAAAGAGGGTGACATTCGAATAAATCATAAATAAAAAGTGCAAACACAAACATATTAACCTACAGTTACAGACTGTAGTCCATCTGTTTCTCTGCATACTTCGTTACCCTGTTCTTCAACTGGTCAGGACCCCCACAGGACCCCCACAGAGCCCCCACAGAGCAGGTACTATTTGGGTGGTAAATCACTCTCAGCACTGCAGTAACTGACGTGGTGGTGGTGTGTTAGTGTATGTTGTGCTGGTGCGAGTGGATCAAACACAGCAGTTTTCAATAGCCATTTTATTTACTATCCAAAACCACCAGTGAACCCACACGTGTCTTCTGAGTTTGATATGAAATGCTGATGATAACAGTGATAAATCTGAAAAAATATTTCTTTGGGGACTATTTTGCCTCAAAACGCCCTGCTTGTATCCCTCCACCATGAATGGATTAAAATACATTTAAAGCTAAAACTTTATCACAAAACTATCATAAAACAGTGTCTCAGTCATCAGGCAGTGAATTCATAACCACTTCATGTAGTAACTTTCTGTGAGGGAGCTTTTAGAGGTGGACGTCTGGTTCCTATCACCACCACTGTGAACAGTTCTGCCTCGGCAAGTTTCTTTAGAACAGAGCGTTTCACACCAAACCACTCTGAACGACTCTGTTTACATCTCAACCACTGAATTATGCAGAAAAATCAGTGGAATTCTCCTTTAAGACTTTCAATGGCATGAGACACTGAGGTCCTGGAGCACACAGAAAGCAAGTTAATCCATTTTAACTTCAGCAATAAATGGTCCATCATGGTTAAAAATAAAAACGTAACACAAAAACTCTCACGTTTCTATGACGAGAATTCTTCCATTAATCTCAGCCGAATTGGGTCAGACCAAATGTTTAACTCATCAGTTAGTATTGAAAATATCAGTACTCAAGTAATCTTACTTACGTTTTTAAAAAGGCCAGACAATGAAAAATGACCTTAACTAAACCGCACTGGATTTCAAACTTAACTGAACTGTACTGCCTTTTAAACTTAACTGAACTGCACTGGATTTTAAACTGAACTGCACTGGATTTTAAACTGAACCGCACCGCATTGGATTTCAAACTTAACTGAACCGCACTGGATGTCAAACCTAACTGAACCGCACTGGAGTTCAAACTTAACTGAACCACACTGGACTTCAAACTTAACGGCACCGCACTGGAGTTCAAACCTACCTCAACTGCACTGCACTGGATTTTAAACACAACTTGTAACGTACTGAAAATACTTCACAAGGAAAAGAAAACCAAGGAATACTTCTTTAAAAAATATATCAAAACAATCTGTGTTAAACAAAAATACATACAAACAAGCGCGTCAATCAGGCTCTGCAGGAAAATGACTGTAGGAAAATTTTAAATATGCTTTTCATCATGCAAACTGCCAACTAATAACTGTAATAACTGCCAATTAATTAGAAGATAAATCATAATGAGCCCTGTTCTGGCAGGATTACATGTACATGGGGTTCTGGGGTAATTTCCTCTTTTACAGGAGCTCCTCTGTGATTTTATTGCTGTCCGGATCAACGTGTCCTTGTTTTTCTCCTTCCTCTCCTGAGAAAATTACAGGCTGAATTATCTCCTGTTTCTCATCAAACTCAGCGGGTGTGCGATTTTAGTCCCGTCTGGATACAAATCTCAGTGATTTTGGTGGATTTTACAGGCAGATGTCGCGTCACAACTTTAAAAAATTATTTATTTGTTTGTTTGTTTGTTTGTTTGACATGCCCTGATAAAGTATTCCAATCCAAATAGGGATAATTTTTACTCTTTTTTTAATCAAGTAATCATGAGAGCCCTAATTTACGTAATGAACACAATATTTCACACTTCTCGCGTTCTCCTGATGATGATGGGGCCAATGCTTAGACGGTTGCGCCACTCAGGAGCCAAGTGTTCGTTATCGTTATACACACACACACACACACAAACACACACACACACACACACACACAAACACACACACACCGCTGTCGGAGGAAAACCTCGTATCTCCATTTTTGTTTCGTTTTTCAGTTTTTGATATAACTTAAAAATGCCTGTTGCTCTTTACATTGTGTGTAAATTTCATGGAGGATGGGCAAACAGATTCATTACTTGGACAAAATTCTGGTTCCATTGACTTACATTAAAAGTAAAGTAGGTTTTTTCCTTCTCCTGGAAAGTTACCATTTTGGAGATACAAGGTTTTCTTCTGACAACAGTGATTATACACACACACACACACACACACACAATAAATAAATAAATTACACACACACACACATATATATATATGACCAAATTTGGTAGAAAATTGAAAAAAAAAAACACACAAAAAAAACAAAAACAAAAGAAAACAACAAAAAATTCTGTAATATGTACAGAAAAGATCTGGCTTACCAAACACGCGTTAACAACGTTAGCCTCGCAGCTCCAGTTCTAAACCAAAAAAGGGCTCCAAACATGTCCTGGCTGATTAACTACCTTTGATATTTTGTCCAATGCTGTGTAAAAAGCCTCATCTGCAGGCCACTCACCCTCCTGGTGATACTGGTGCTGCACACCTGCCTCACAACACACTGAGCTCTTCTCATATTCATACTAACAGATCATTATCATAGGATTCTAACAGTAGACACTGATGCTCATGGATTTAGCTCTCATGTTCACTGTGATTCACTCCAAACAGCAGCAACTGTTTTTCGTCTATTTCACACTGTTACTCTGACAAGACTCTAACAGCAGTCACTGGTTATCAGTGATGAATCTAAATACTTCTGTCCAGTGTTTGTTCCTCGATATTCAATGTTGTATATGAATTGTATGATTGCTGTCCTGTGTGGTCCAGAGGAGGATGGGTTCCTCTCTTGAGTCTTGGTTCTTATGAAGGTTTCTTCTTCTTGCTGTTAGGGAGTTTTTTATGCCACTGTGATGATTGGCAATGCTCGTTGGGGCTTGGACCCGGATATTCTTTGAAGCTGCTGTGTGACAGTGCCTGCTGTAAAAACTCTACATATTTTGCTGCTGTCGGAACAAAACCTCGTATCTCCATTTTTGTTGTTTTTCAGTTTTTGACATAATTAAAAAGTACCTGTTGCTCTTTACATTGTATGTAAATGTCATGATGAATGGACCAAAAGAAACGGCCCAAAATGACATGGAAAAAAGTCTGGTTCCATTGACTTACATTAAAAGTCAAGTATGTTTTTCCTTCTCCTGTAAAGTTATGATTCTGGAAATACAAGGTTTTGGTCCGACAGCAGCAATAAATACATCTTCCTTTAAAATCGATGTCCGTTGAGTTCTGGTTCCTCTCAAGGTGTCTTTCTCTTGCTGTTAGGGTGTGTTTTTTTTCTGTAAAGCTGCTTTGTGACAACGTTTGCTGTAAAAAAAAAAACGCTATTATATATGTCGCTACTGTCAAAACAATCTTGAATCTCAATTTTCGCCATTTTTCAGTTTTTTTGTCATCATTAAAACATACCTGTTGCCGTTAACATTGTATAGAAATGTCATGATGAACGGAACAATATAAACGGCCCAAAATGACTTGGGGGAGAAAAAAGTAAAGTATGTTTTAAAAGTAAAGTCTGTTTTTTCTTCTCCTATAAACTTATAAGGTTTTGTTCCTGCAGCACCAGTAAATTCATCTTCCTTTAAAATCGATATCCGTTATAATTCCCTCTACTAAGGTTCTCCTCACAAGAATTTGGCTTTGTGTGATAATTTAGCCAACTTAAAAACTGGGCTGGGCTGAGTGCAGTAGTCATGGTACCACATGCCTCACGTGACCAAAGTGTGGGCACAGCGCTGACAGCTAGACGAGGACCACTTCCCCTCACCTCCACTAATCCAGCGGCCCAAACGGGGGCAGAAGGAGATACCAGACCCCCAAAATCAGAGCACAGAGAGATAAAGGGTGGAGAGAGGAATAAATAGAGGGAGAGAGGAGAGAAGGCCGTCCTGCAAGGAGGAACAGACTGTGTAGAAGTTTGTATGGTGCTGCTGTAGCTCCCTCCACGATTCTTGGCTTGCTGTGCCACTGCACGGGTCAGAGCTTGGGAAAGAACCCAAACAAAGTACTGATCCCTGGGAAAGAACATTTACAGCTGGGTGAGAGAGAGAGAGAGAGAGAGAGAGAGAGAGAGAGAGGCTGAGAGACTTGACTGGTGGACAAGGTGCCATAAAAAGAGCGAACTTGGTGGAGCAAGGGGACAAAGAGGAGGAGACGAAAGTACGGAAACACACCCAGAAGCTCTTCACGTGGCAAAACAACAGCACATCCTCGGGAACTCTGAAGACCATACCCCACGGGACGAGGGCAGGGATCACGGGAACTTAGGATCCCATGACACGCCGCACACTCTTCTCGGTAGAACAGGGTTTCTTCGTCTGAACATCTGTCTCGAGGACAGGGATAATGCTACGCAGGCTTTTCCAGCGGAGACTGAAGCATGAGCGCTTGCAGGAGGAGCCAGAGGTGCGATACAAAGGCAAACTCATCTCCGAGAAAGAGCTGGGCTACACATACATACGGCCAGGAGGTAAGAGATCGCGCACAAACGCAGACGCTCAAGCACAAACCATAATTAAACCACGGAGGAGTGTTTGTATTAAGGAACAGAAGACACTCTCCAGCTCCGCGAGTGTGTAATGGATGGCCATACGACCGCTCCACTGGCGCGCTTTCAGTACCAAAGTCAAACAGGAGCCCGTGAGAGAATACGGGCCCGTTTACATTCGTGGTTCGGTTCCTTTGGTCCAGATGAAAGCAGAATGGCACACAGTTGCATTTTAGTTCTGGTTCACTTACTGTTCACACCGATGTATCTGACCAAACCAGAAGACGTAAACAAAAGTCATACAGAGCAAAAAAAAAAAAGGGATTATAACTCAAATGACATCTAAAACCTTTAGCCCGTTTTGGGTTCACATTATAAACGAAAAGAATCCATTTATTTCCTAAAAAGGTTCCACTTATTTGGTGAGACATGAATCGTGATACGCAATATGAATCACAATTTAGTTTTTCTAAGATTTAGGGTTCGAATGGCAGCGTTTACACTTGTTCTAACACGCAGAGCAATCAGGATTCATTCAAATCGGATTAAACCTGGTGTGAACGCGCCCCAAAACGAAATCTGAATTAGTTAGCAGGTCCTGTACTGCCCGTTTGCTTACATAGGCGAAAAATATTAGAAATAGGGACGTCTACCAAATATTTTGAATCATTATTATCAAGTCTTTACCAAATGTTTAACTTGGCAGTCGTTATTGAAAATATTAGTACTCAAGTATTCTTATTTAATGTAACTAAAGTTTTTAAAAAGGCCAGACAATGAAAAATAAACTTAACTAAACTGCTTTAAATACTTTACAAGAAAAAGATTTTTTGTTTTTTACGTTGATGATGAAATTAACTGAACTGCTTGACCTCAAAGACTCTACACACTCCAAAAATGATCTCTTAGCAAGAGGAAACATCTTAAAAGTAGTCAATATCTCTAATACTTCTTATTTAGAAAACGTTATAAGAATGACTAAGATTATATAACTTATTTCTAAACCTTTTAACTTGTTTTAAATAATTTTATCCAGTGAAAGTGTCTTATGTCATTGGCAGACCATTTTAATTGTTATTAAAAATAATACAAAATTTTCATATGTCAAGAAATAATGCTTAAAACAAGTAAAACAATCTGCCAATTGAATAAGACACTTTCATGAAAGATGAAATAATATTCTTACAACAGTTTCATATTGAGAAACGTTACATATATTAACTACATTTAAGATCTTTTCTCTTGCTAAGACATCATATTTGCAGTGCAGGTAGATAAAGATAACAAATGAAGGTAAATCTGAAGTGTTTATTTATAAGTGTCCACCTTTGTTTACTGAAATCACCACATTCACGCTGAGGCTTTGTCTTAGCGAGCTCTACTACTATTGATCCATAAATATTTACCCAAACACAGCCAGACGCATCATCTTCTGACTGCGACTTCTACACCGGCTCCGGCGTTCCCGGTGCGTCTGCGCCCACTTCTCTTTAACGTCAGCTCAGCTATTCCCAGAATGAGCTCCAGCTACCTATCATGCCTTTAAGAGTGTGTAAGCATGTGTGAGTGTCTGTATTTACTCTGGTTCGGCGCGGAGCTCCGTTATCTTATCAGGGCTCACTGATTGGGTCGGTAACGCTGGCGGTGCACTCACAGCGAGCGCTCAGCATGGGCCCTCTGCCACACACATACCGCTGCACCATAAAAGGAGCTGTGGCTCCGGGGCCACTCGCACAGCCCCGCTGCTCTGCCAGCTCTCTCCCAGAACATACTTACATACTTTCACTCAGGAGCGCTTCCACTTCCTACCCATTAACTCCCACAGCACACATAAACCCCCGCTCTGTGGAAACTTTCCATACTAGCCCTGGGAGACAGACGGGGGTCCTTTAAAACTGAAACGAAGCCTTTAAAAAGACTACACACACTTAAAAAGATGGTTCTTCAAGGGTTCTTTAGTAAAGGTAGTAGTTCTATTCAGAACAATGAACACAATCCTATTACATGAACCTAAAGGGTTCTTAGCATGGAGAAATTCTTCAGAGTGAAGGAGAATGTGCTGTATATGGCTCTATATAGCACCAAAAAGGTGTCAAGCTCGTAACAATAGAACCCTTTTTGGCCTTACATAGAACCCTTTTCAAAAAACATTCTACGTAGAACTGTATAAAACGCATTCTCCATCAAACTGAAGAACATTCAAGCACATAATAGTTCCACACTCTTAAAAAAAGATGATTCTTCAAGGGTTCTTTAGTAAAGGGAGTGGTTCTACATAGAACCATGAACACTCAAAGAACCATTTGCATGCTTAAAGGGTTCTTTGCATGGTGAAATGGTTTTTCAGATTGATGGAGAATGTGCTGTATATGGCTCTATATAGCACCAAAAAGGTGTCAAGCTCGTAACAATAGAACCCTTTTTGGCCTTACTTAGAACCCTTTTCAAAAAACGGTCTTCATAGAAACGTAAACTACACGTTCTCCATCAATTTCTAGAACCATTTCACCACGCAAAGAACGATTTAAGCAGGAATAGTTCTACATTTTTAAAAAAGATGGTTCTTCAAGGGTTCTTTAATAAAGGGAGTGGTTCTATTCAGAACAATGAACACTGAAACCTATTACATGTTCAAAGGGTTCTTTGCATGGTGAAACTGTTCTTCAGATTGATGGAGAATGTGCTGTATATGGGTCTACACAGAACAACAAAGGTGTCAAGCTCGTAAGAGTAGAACCTTTTTCGAAAAACGTTTTACATAGAAACGTATACAACGCATTCTCCATCAATCTTTAGAACCATTTCACTATGTAAAGAACCATTTAAGAATATAATAGTTCTACACTCTTAAAAAAAGATGGTTCTGCAATGTTTTAGTAAAGGAAACGGATCTATTTAGAACCATGAACACCCAAACCATTTGCATGCTTAAATGGTTCCTTGCATGGTGGAATACTTCTTTAGATTGATGGAGAATGTTCTGCATATGAGTCTATATAGCATCAAAAAGGTGTCAAGCTCGTAACAATAGAACCCTTTTTGGTGTTACAGAGAACCCTTTTCAAAAAACATTCTACATAGAACTGTATACAACACATTCTCCATCAATCTGAAGAACTATTTAAGCATGTAGTAGTTCCACGCTCTTAAAAAAGACAGTTCTTCGAGGGTTCTTTAGTAAAGGTGGTGGTTCTACATAGAACCATGAACACTCAGACCATTTGCATGCTTAAAGCGTTCCTTGCATGGTGAAATGGTTCCTCATATTGATGGGGAATGTGCTGTATATGGGTCTATATAGCAGCAAAAAGATATCAAGGTTGTAACAATAGCAGAACCATTTTTTGGTGCTGTATAGAACCCTTTTCAAAAAGGTTCTATATAGAAGCACGTACAACACATTCCCCATCAATCCGAAGAACCATCTCACCATGCAAAGACTGCTTTTAAACTATATAGAACCACTCTTTACCAAAAACCCTTCATGCTTAAATAAAAAAAAAGGTTCCTCAGTGTTCTTTAGTTGTATATAGAACTCTGCATGTAAAATGGTTCTTTGCATGGTGAAATGTCTTTAGATTGACTGAGAATGTGTTGTACATGGTTCTATATAGCACTGAAAGGGTTCTTTTATTGTTACGATGTCAAGCTTGCACACAATAGAAGAACCATTTTTGGTGCTACACAGAACCCTTTTCAAAAAGGTAGAAAACCACACGTCTCCATCAATCTGAAGAACGATTTCACCATGCAAAGAAACCTTTAAGCATTCTTTGCGTGTTCATGGTTCTACATAGAACCACTGTCTTTACTAAAGAACCCTTGAAGAATCATCTTTTTTTAAACGTGTAGAACTTTTACATGCTTAAATGGTTCTTTGCATGGTGAAATCGTTCTTCAGATTGATGGAAAATGTGTTGTATATGGTTCTATACAGAACCTCTTTGAAATGGTTCTGTTCTTTTATTGTTATGATGTTAAGCTTGTAACAATAGAAGAATCCTTTTTGGTGCTACAACTATAACTTTCCATCAATCCAAAGAACAATTTCACCATGTAAATAACCTTTTAAGCACGTGACAGTTCTATGTAGAACTTATGGTTCTAAACAGAACCATTACCTGTACTTTACCTGTATCTTTTTTAAGAGTGCAGATAAAAATACTGCAGGGAAGTTCTATAAAAACACTCGCAGGCACTCACAGCGGGCGTTCCGGTAGAGCAGAAAGGGGTCCTGGAGCTGGAAGTCTAGGTCCTTGGTGATGGGTTCTGTCAGGTTGTCCATACTGAGACGGTTCATGATGGTGAAGCCGTGTTTGGGAGAAGCGAGCCTGAAAACCAAGAACACAAAACGATCACGCCGCCGCCTGACGAGACCTGAGGTTCACAGTTAGAGGTCTGACTCACATGAAACACTGGGTGCTCAGAACAGTCAGCAGTGACAGATCCGGTTCTGTTATTAGCTGTTAGGGTTGTGTGGTATCTAGACCTGACACAATTATTACACAATCGCCTAACAGGGCTGGGTGATACGGCAAAAACATATCATGATACTTCTAGACATTTTCACAATACACGATTTGAATACTAAAGTGTTCTTTAGATTGATGGAGAATGTGTTGTATATGGTTCTACATACACCGATCAGGCATAACATTATGACCACCTCCTTGTTTCTACGCTCATTGTCCATTTTATCAGCTCCACTTACTGTATAGGTGCACTTTGTAGTTCTACAGTTACAGACTGTAGTCCATCTGTTTCTCTGGTACTTTGTTAGCCCCCTTTTACCCTGTTCTTCAGTGGTCAGGACCCCCATGGACCCTCACAGAGCAGGTACTATTTGGGTGGTGGATCATTCTCAGCACTGCAGTAACACTGACGTGGTGGTGTGTTAGTGTGTGTTGCGCTGGTCTGAGTGGATCAGACACAGCAGTGCTGCTGGAGTTTTTTTTAAACACTGTGTCCACTCACTGTCCACCCTATTAGACACTCCTACCTTTTCGGTCCACCTTGTAGATGTAAAGTCAGAGACGATAGCTCATCTGCTGCTGCACAGTTTGTGTCGGTCATCCTCTAGTCCTTCATCAGTGGTCACAGGACGCTGCCCACAGGACGCTATTGGCTGGATATTTTTGGTTGGTGGACTATTCTCAGTCCAGCAGTGACACTGAGGTGTTTAAAAACTCCAGCAGCTCTGCTGTGTCTGATCCACTCAGACCAGCACAACACACAATAACACACCACCACTTCAGTGTTACTGCAGTGTTGAGAATGATCCACCACCCAAATAGTACCTGCTCTGTGGGGGTCCATGGGGGTCCTGACCACTGAAGAACAGGGTAAAAGGGGGCTAACAAAGTATCAGAGAAACAGATGGACTACAGTCTGTAACTGTAGAACTACAAAGTGCACCTATATAGTAAGTGGAGCTGATAAAATGGACAATGAGCGCAGGAACAAGGAGGTGGTCAGAATGTTATGCCTGACCGGTGTACGTGTTCGTGTGAAATTCCACTTTTTCCCCTTTGATTAAACCCTTAGCGGCTGCGACGTGGTATTTTAGGGCTTTATTTTGCTGCATGGAAGCGTCGCCCACAAGCCCAGAGGTATTTAGAGAGTTCAGGAAGACGATTTATTTAACTGCACTTCTAAAGCCGCCGTACTGAGGACATGTTTAATAACAACACCGAAATAGATGAGACGGTCAGCTCCAAAAGCTGCTACACATACCTGAGCTGTGCTACTGCTTCCACTATCTTTCACAGATCATATATCACGCTGTGGACTGAATTTTTTCCCTTCTCCACACTTAAAGGGGAACTCCACCCATTTGTTAAAATTCAAGAGGTTTGGTGTGGAACACCTCATTCCAGAGAAACTTACTGAGTCAGAAATGTTCACAGTGGTGGTGATAGGAACCAGAGGTCCACCTCTACATGAAATGGTTATGAATTCACAGCCTGAGACGATTTTGGTCCTAAAAAGCATTTTTTACAATTTATTCATGGTGGAAGGATACATGCAGGGTGTTATGAGGCAAAATAGCCCCCCAAAAAAACGTTTATTCAGATTTTCTACTATTTTCCATCATAGGCATTCCATATAAAACTCAGAAGGCACGTGTAAGTTCACTGGATAGTAAATAAAATGGTTATATTCATCTTCTTTGCAATGAAACGTGTCATATTATACCACTAAAAGGGTCATATTTAAAAATCTCAACAAATCTGTGCTTTTATTTTATTTTTACTTAATATTTTGCCACAACCCCAACTGGCCACTGTTTATTCAAAATATGCCAAAACTGCAAAAAATAGGCACTGAGTACTTGAATAATTCAAAAATTATTTTAAATTAAAAAGCAAAATGTTGTATATAAAACAATAGACTGCAGATCACTATCCAACCTCTTTAATGTTCCCAATGTACAGTAGGTTTTTTTAAACGACCTATTCACCTAGCATCTTTTTTATGTGGTGCTGTCCCATAGATCATTGTTGGAGAGGGGGTGGGAGCACACATTGGCCCAATCCCATTTCTTATTTTTACCCCTACCCCTTGTTTTCGAGTGTCACCCTAACCCCTTGGAACTGAGTTACAGGGTAGTGGTTGAAATCTTCCCTCTGAAATGGGACCCTCAAATAAAAAGAGCATCACTTCATTAACAGCTACCAGCGCTGCTCTGTAGGCGACCCTGCCAGTCTGCAGTGACAGCAGAGGAGGGTAAAGTTCAGCTCCTCACTGCTGGGCTTTAGTTACATTTAGGGAATCACAGGCCTTCAAAGAGGGGGGCAATTATTTATTATCACCCACCCCTAATTCTTCAGTGATATGAAGCTGAAGTCAGATATTCACCAGATTCTTGCTTTGAATTTTACCGTTCCACCTTAAATGGAGCAGCAGTTACATTCTGGCACTTCAGGCGTCAGAACTGCTGGACTATTTAAGGTGGAACGGGAAAGTTAGCTAACTAGCTACCGAGACATTAGCATGCTATTAGTGATATGCTATGAATATGCATGTTATGAGGAAAACGACCATAATACACTGAAACAACATTAAAAATAATACAGTGATTATCGTGATTTTTAACGGAGAAAATTCTCACATTTGTGGGTTTCTTTGGTCTCTTGTTCTCCATCTTGCTGGTTTTTCTCTTTTTTCTCATAACTCTCTGTTTGGAGTCTCTGAAAAACCTCTGTTTGGAGGGTCATGTAGCCCCAACACTTCACCCTCCCCCTCTATCTCAACAACAATCGGGACACCCTACCCCTAGACGTGATCGCGCAAAATCGAGGGGCAAGGGCTGAGTGGTAGGGGCGAGGGGTGAAATGGGACTGGGCCATTATGTTGCAGTGCATGGTGGGAACTGTAGTGCAGCTCATGGGAAAATGGGCTAATGGTAACAGAAAATTTAAATAATTTTGCAGGCTGTATAGGATTGTGCTACAGGCCTGACCTGCCTGACTTGTGTTTGACACATGGATTCTTAAAGAATCTGTTAGATCTCAATGACTGAACTATGCAGAAATTTTGAAAATTCTTCCAGCTTTCCCATGACGTTGGTTGATGCTTATCTGTACATAAAGCTTTGAGGAATCTGCAGGGTCGTCTTCTCATTCTTAGCTCGTTGCCGTCTGGTCTTTGTGCGTCTGACCCTGATGAGAGTTTTACCAACAACACGTTCCAAAAAAGTTGGGACGGGGGCAACAAAACTGTTGAGCAGCTGAAATCCTGTATCAAACCAGAATGGAAAACATTTCACTTTCTAAACTACAGCAGTGTCTCCTCAGTTGCCAAACACTTACAGAGTGCTGTTAAAAGAGGAGGTGATGAAACACAGTGGTAAACAGGCCCCCCAACTTTTTTGGAACATGTTGTTGGCAACAAATTCAAAATGGCCAAATATTTAAAAAAATTAAATAAAATTTCTCAGTTTCAACATTTGATTTGTTGTCTTTGCAGTTTTCCTAATATTTAGTAGTATTATTTTCCTAATATTTAGTAGCAGTATTTAATATCATTGCATTCTATTTTTATTTGCATTCTGCACAGCGTCCCACAGTGGTAAACATGCCCCCGTCTCAACTCTTTTGGAATGTGCTGCTGCCATCAAATTCGAAATGGGCATTATTCCCTAACTGAAAGGGACGCTCCACCCAAAATGGAACTCTCCGCTACTACATCTGTTGTAAACATTTATACTCGCTTCCTACAGCATGACTGCAATAGTGTCTAAAGCGCAAGAAAAACTCCCTTCTGAGGAAATTTCTTGAAAGCAGCAAGAACTTTCAAAAAACTCCATGGGCGGATAACTGAGGGCAGGCTGTTTCCACTGGCTAGCTAATCACTGGGGGCAGATTCTTAGTAGTTGCATGATGTTTTGCAGAATGCATGCTGGGTATTAAGCCTATTTCACACCAGATGCGATGTTAAAACTTAATCCGGAACCACTCCGCAACGCTCGTTATTTCACACTGGACGCGACACACGTGGCTGCTGTTTGTGTTGCGTTTTCAAGTAATATAATCCTTTATATATCCTTTTATTATTCATATAAACTTTATGTAGATGACATAAAGAGATCAACAATAAAATCCTGACTAGCTGCCGTGACCATTGCTGGCTTTCTGACCAGGTGATGTAGCTCCATCCTCGGGTTTCAGTCACGTGATTTTTCTGTTGCGGCTCCATAAAGTCAATAAAACAGGCTGTGATCCTTATACAGTTTCCCCTGAATCCCTGCCCCACTTAAACTGGTGGAAAGCGACCAAATTTGTGTTTTCCTGACATTTATATGTATCTCATACTCAGCCCCTCTCCCTATTCTGGAGAGTCTGAAAGCATTTAAAAGCACAGAAGCCCACCGGCTCTTCATGTCAGGGTGAGTAAAGGATCCCATGGTGTTGAATAAAGAGGAGAAACAACTGTCATCATAGGAGGGTAACGACATCAGCTAATTGACACAAATGTGAACAAGGGAGATGAACAGTCGTCCCCCTAACGGAGCTCCAGACAGCCGGTATAACTTTACTCTCTGTTTCTGGAGATTTAAATGACGTTTGAATGGAGAAACATAAGCGTTAAATATCAGACTGAATGTCGTGGGTCGGAAAACGATGTCGTGTTTCGACAGACGTGATTCTGTAAGTTTGCTAGTGCAGTTAGTTCAGAGTTCAGCTCCAGTCCTGAAACCCCTGCACTGCATAACTGTGGTTTCCTGATTAAAATACCTGATATTATTAGCTAATTAATCCCTTCTTGAGCTGAACGAGGTGAACAGCAGAAACACTAAACTATACAGTGCAGGGGCTCCAAGCCTGGAGTTAAACACTGAATTAAAGGTCTGTGTGTCTCTCGGCTTCTGTTGCGTCTTACAGGTGAATCATTCACAAAGCACAGCTAACTGAAGGCATCGCGCTGAGCAGTCACTCCCTGATTCGGTCCTCGGAATGGTGGCGACTATACAGTGTGACGTCACGTGAAACGTGAGAATATGAGGAGGAGGAGATGCCTGTGTGTTCACATCATTAATCTACTCAAGGGATTTCAGTCAACCTGTCAAAGAGTTAAAACTAGGTTTGTTAATTAGTTTATTAGCCTAGATTGAATATTATAGCACTGACATTGCATTTCTTTATCATTTCTGCATAAAAAACTGCGGCATGTCGTATGCGGCACGTGTCAGAAACAGAAACAGAAATTTTTGCGCTTTTGCATTACAGCCACAGTGCTGAGTGAAGCGTATGGCCGGTGTTAAAGACTACGCTGATTAATATAGGAGCGTATTGGGTGCGGCACTCCGTGGCATGTCATGCATGTGACAGAAGACTACACAACACAACACACGACATTTAGGCCCAGTCCCATTTCACCCCTCGCCCCTACCACTCAGCCCTTAGCCCTCTGTTTTGCCTGTTCACGTCTAGGGGTAGGGTGTCCTGATTCTTGGTGAGATAGAGGGGGAGGGTGAAGTGTTGGGGCCGCATGACCCTCCAAACGGAGGTTTTTCAGAGACTCCAAACAGAAAGTTATGAGAAAAAAAGAAAAACTGGCAAGATGGAGAACAAGAGACCAAAGAAACCCACAAATGTGAGAATTTTCTTGGTTAAAAATCACGATAATCACTGTATTATCTTAGTTTAATGTCGTTTCAGTGTATTATGGTCCTTTTCTTCATAATAAGCATTAAAAAAATGCTAACAGATGCTATGTCTCTGTAGCTAGCTAGTTAGCTAACTTTCCCGTTCCACCTTAAATAGTCCAGCAGTTCTGATGCCTGAAGCAATGGAATGTAACTGCTTCACCATTTAAGGTGGAACGGGAAAATTCGAACAAGAATCTGGTGAATATCTGACTTCAGCTTCGTATCACTGAAGAATTAGGGGTGGGTGATAATAAATAATTGCCCCCCTCTTTGAAGTCATATGATTTCCTAAATGTAACTAAAGCCCAGCAGTGAGGAGCTGAACTTTACCCTCCTCTGCTGTCACTGCAGACTGGCAGGGACGCCTACTGCTCTGCGCCTACTGCGCTGGTAGCTGTTAATGAAATCCAAGGGGTTAGGGTGACACTCGAAAACAAGGGGTAGGGGTAAAAATAAGAAATGGGACTGGGCCTAAGAGCAAGTTTTCATTCACTTTCATTTTCAGCCAGAGCTGTGGAGACTTAAGTTCACCACAGTATCAAGTCTTACCTCGTATACACAAACAAAGTGCCCTCAACGTCCGTCTTTTCCTGCAAAACAGAACGAGCGGTCAGTGAATTTGGATTTGAAACACCACAAAGCTCTGTTTATTTCATTCCTCCCCACAAAGCTGTAAATCTACTTCATACTGCCTTTAAAGGGGAATTCCACCAATTTTTTTTTTTAGAGTTTCTGTATAGTTAAGAAGTTGTAAACAGTCATTCAGAGTGGTTTGGTATTAAAAGCTCTGTTCTAGAGAAACTTGCTGAGTCAGAATTGTTCACAGTGGTGGTGATAGGAACCAGACGTCCACCTCTAAAAGCTCCCTCACAGAAAGTTACTACATGAAATGGTTATGAATTCACTGCCTGATGACTGAGACACTGTTTTACGATAGTTTGGAGATAATGTTTCTGAATCACTCTGTTTACACCTCAAACACTGACTTATGTAGAAATTTTGAAAAAAAGGACAACTCCACCAATGTTTCAAAATTTCTAAATAAATTCAGTCCTTGAGATGTAATCAGAGAGATTCAGAGAGGGTTTGGTGTGAAATGGTTCAGATGTCTTTACAGTGACTACAACACAAATATAGACATTTTATTTACCATCCAAAACCACCAGTGAACCTACACGAGTCTTCTGAGTTTTACACATAATGTTGATGATGGAAAATAGCAGGACATCTTAAAAAGTATTTTGCCTTACAACATCCTGCATCCAGAATTTTATAACTAAAACAGTGTCTCAGTCATCAGGCAGTGAATTCATAACCATTTCATGTAGTAACTTTCTGTGAGGGAGCTTTTAGAGGTGGACGTCTGGTTCCTATCACCACCACTGTGAACAATCCTGACTCGGGAGGTTTTCCTAAAACGGAGCGTTGTACAGCAAACCACTCTGAACGACTCTGTTTACATCTTAACCGTTTAATTATGCAGCAATTTTGAAAAATGGGTGGAGTTCTCCTTTAAGTTAGCAGTCAGACTCACCCACTCGTTGGTTTCGTTGTTGAAGGTGTAAAGGGCTACTTGGCTCGCTACGTCCACAATGTTGTTGATATAAGGGTCCTGCCTCTGCAGAGCGGCCAGACTGATGTCCAGCCCTTTGGTGGGCAGACAGGTGACCCCTCCAGACGCGGTCATAGCTTCTTAGGGGTTTGTTAGTCAGTCGGTTTGTTTGTTTTAGGAACTTTTAGGAGCGCTGAGCTCCGCTTAGCCGCTCAGCTAAGCGCAGTGAAATCCCTCTACAGCGGCTTCGCTCTCTCCGCCGGGAAACAGAGAGAAGAGCTTCCACTCCGCTTTCGGGCCTCGGCGGAAAATAGTGCTGAGGAACCTTAGAGACGGTTTACAAAAGAATTCAGCTGTTCAAATCGATATAAAACCAATAAACCGCTTTATTTCATCTAACAACGACATCTCGGCTCGAACTTCTCCTTCTTCGTCGGGTGAAAAGGTGGTGGTAAGCAGACTGGCGGTGCACAGCGCCGCCAAACGGTCGAAGCGAAGAGTGCTGAGGCTGGATTCACTGGATTCAGAAGCGTCTAATTAAAAAAATACTCATAAATGTGCCTTTTTCTCTCAACTACATGCTGACGAAAAAAGTTAAGATGAGATATTATTCTACAAAAAACTTTTTAAAAAATTATTCATTGCTATGTTAACCCTTTTCTTAAGTACAATAGTAAGAACAAGCGGTATTCTTGAAAAAAAATATGGTTTTAAATATTTCCTTAACCTTATGATAGTTTTACACGTGTCTTAGACAAAGCCTGACTAATGGCTCAAATGATTTTCGTAAAATATCATTTTTAAAATAAACCGAGGGTGATTTTTTCCCATTGGCTGTTGCCTCGACTATCACTTCCAGTGTTTGGGCCTCATTCTCTAATATCCTCCTAAGTCTGTTCTTAAATGTGTTGTTGAGAAAGGTTCTAAGAAAAATTCTACGTCAGATTCATGACGTGTTTTTAAAGCGCAGAACTGTTCTCACCTTTGTGCTCTTGAGTGTGTGTAGACTCACCTAAGAACAAATCCCAAATAAGAGAACATTGGTGAGTCAGGGTCTTCGTCTAAACTGTGTAGTTTCAAGTTTCAAGTTTATTTGTCATTTGCACAACATGTCAGGACATTCAAGTAAAAATACAAATACAAGAAAATACTGAAACTGAAATATATTAAATATACACAAAATATACACAAAATATAGAGACAGGAGGAACCTATGTAAGGAGAAAAAAAATCCTCTCTGCTATGTACAAATATACTTCTATTAAACAAGCGATAAGGGATAATCGGCGAAGAATATATACATTTTAAATTGTAAGTGGGTTTTAAGAAGAAATTTGTTCTTAAGAACGGTTGGTGAATGAGGCCCAATGTCTTTTTGCTGAGTTTTAATGTGTCATAACATTTCCACAGGGCAGTATGTTAAATTCAGCAAATAAACAGTAACTGTGTATTAAAATGTGCAGTAGTGTGTCTCTGTGGAGGAGCTGTAACTTATTCACACTCAGAAAATCAACAACTACATGGAATTTGACCAGGGGTGCCCAAACTTTTGCATACAACTGCACTTCTTTAAAGCAGTGTCTCAGTAATCAGGCAGTGAATTCATAACCATTTACTGTAATAATGTTCTGTGAGGGAGCTTTTAGAGGTGGACGTCTGGTTCCTATCACCACCACTGTGAACAGTTCTGACTCTAGAACGGAGCGTTTCACACCAAACCGCTCTGAACGACTCTGTTTACGTCTTAACCGTTTAATTAGGCGTACAGTTTGGAAATTTAATGGAATTTCCCTTTAAGTCCTACTTTCTAAATGACGTGTAGTTTAAAGGAAGTGACAGCGATCAGGTCTCACTGCTGTAGTGCTGGGAGTGATGATAACATTGTTTTTGCTGTCCCAGGACTGTTACTGGTTCTATCGTTCTGCAGTCCAATGTTTCTTCTTGAGGTTCCTGTTTGTAGTCTATGATGAAGTTTATGGACGCCTGACCTGCTGCTGTATTACTGACCGTCTGAATAAGACCGCTGCTTTGTTTCCTGCTTAAATCACCTGCTTTAATGATGAATCTCTCATTAGAGAAATCAGCACCTTAAAGACTCTGTATGTTCCACACTCTTACAAAACAGTGTTCTTCAAGGGTTCTTTAGTAAAAGGGATGGTTCTATGTACAACCATGAGTTCTACAGTCTTAAAACAGTGTTCTTCAAGGGTTCTTTAGTAAAAGGGATGGTTCTATGTACAACCATGAGTTCTACAGTCTTAAAACAGTGTTCTTCAAGGGTTCTTTAGTAAAGGGAATGGCTCTATTTAGAACCATGAGTTCTTTAGTCTTAAAAAAGAGAGTACTTCAAGGGTTCTTTAGTAAAGGGAATGGTTCTATTTAGAACCATGGGTTCTACAGTCTTAAAACAGTGTTCTTCAAGGGTTCTTTAGTAAAAGGGATGATTCTATGTACAACCATGAGTTCTTCAGTCTTAAAAAAGAGTGTTCTTCAAGGGTTCTTTAGTAAAAGGGATGGTTCTGTTTAGAACCATGAGTTCTACATTCTTAAAAAACAGTGTTCTTCAAGGATTCTTTAGTAAGGGGAATGGTTCAATTTAGAACCATGAGTTTCTACACTGTTAAAAACAGTGTTCTTCAAGGGTTCTTTAGTAAAGGGAATGGTTCTATATAAAACCATAAGTTCTACAGTCTTAAAAAGGTGGTTCTTCAAGGGTTCTTTAGTAAAGGGAATGGCTCTATTTAGAACCACGAGTTCTACAGTCTTAAAAAAGATCATTCTTCAAGGGTTGTTTTGTAAGGGGAATGGTTCTATTTAGAACCATGAGTTCTACACTCTTAAAAACAGTGCTCTTCAAGGGTTCTTTAGTAAAGGGAATGGTTCTATATAGAACCATGAGTTCTACAGTCTTAAAAAGGTGGTTCTTCAAGGGTTCTTTAGTAAAAGCAATGGTTCTATTTAGAACCATGAGTTCTAGAGTCTTAAAAAAGGTGGTTCTTTAAGGGTTCTTTAGTAAAGGGAATGGTTCTATTTAGAACCATGAGTTCTACACTATAAAAAATCATAGTTCCTCAAGGGTTCTTTAGTGAAGGAATGTCTCTATTTAGAACCATGAATTCTACACTCTTAAAAAACAGTGTTCTACAAGGGTTCTTTAGTAAAGGGCATGGTTCTACATAGAACCATGAGTTCTTCACTCTTAAAAAAGATGGTTCTTCATGGGTTCTTTAGTAAAGGGAATGGTTCTATTTAGAATGATGAGTTTTACGCTCTTAAAAAAAGATGGTTCTCCACCGAACTTTCACGATGCAAAGAACCCCTGATCATGCTAAGGATTCTTGGAGTGTTCATGGTCCTACATAGAACCATTTCTTTACATCGTGAAAAACTGATGGAGAATGTGTTGTATAAGGTTCTATATAGCACCGAAAGGAATCTTCTATTGTAACAAGCTTGACATCATCACAATAGCAGAACCCTTTTTGGTGCTATATAGAAACGTTTTCAAAAAGGTTCTACATAGAACCACATATAACACATTCACCATCAATCTGAAGAACTATTTTACCATGCAAAGAACCATTTAAGCATGAAATGGTTCTATATAGAACCATTGTCTTTACTTAAGGAACCCTTGAAGAACCTTGTTTTTTAACAGTGTACAGTACTGCAGTTGGATACTTTAAATGTGTTTTACAGTTTTATACAGAATTCCATGTGGAATTCTGGGAAAACTTATACAGTTCAGGCAGATGATATTAACACCTCATTGTACAGCGACACATGTAGGAGAGAAACACATGCAACATGTTTTTATTAACTATATTTAAAAATGTATGAAAATGGCCAAAGAGTGTTTTTGCTCACTGTACTTCAGTGTTTGATGTATATTCTGAAATGAAAAAATGTATTTATAGTACATCTCACATGTACAGAACTCTGGGGAGGCCGTTAGCTGTTGCTATAGTTTTCTGTATTGTTATCTTGAGATAATGAGTTAATTATCTTGTGACCTCGAGAAAATTACTTTGTTAACTTGGGATCACAAGATAATTAACTTGTTATCTCAAGATAACATCTTCATTATCTTGAGATCACAATATAATTAACTCATTATGTCAAGATAACAACTTTTGTAATCTTTAGATAACAAGATAAGTAATTCATTATTTAATGGTAATGATTTTGTTATCTTGAGATAACAAGACAATTAACTTGTCTCAAGATAGCAACTTTATTATCTTGAGATCACAAGAAAATTAACTCATTATCTCAAGATAACAACTTTTGTTATCTCGAGATAAGATAAGTACCTTAATAAGTAAAGATAAGATAATTAACTTGTTATCTCAAGATAATTCATTATCTCAAGATAACTTTTGCTATCTCAAGATATCAGGATAAATAACTCACTATTTCAAGATAACAATTTTGTCTTGGGATAATAAAGTTGCTGTCTTGAGATAAGCCAGTTCATTATCTTGAGATCACAAGATCACTAATTTGTTATCTCAAGATAACTTTTGCTATCTCGAGATAACAGGATAAATACCTTGCTATTTCAAGATAACAACTTTGTTGTCTTAAGATAATAAGGTAATTATCTCATTATCTCAAAATAACAATCCAGAAAATTGTAACTACATCATGGCCTCTCTGGACTTCTGCATGCCTATGGGGTTATTTTCCGTATGTTTAATATTATAACAATATTGTAAAAATACCTAAACAGACACACTCACACATCATCACCTGTGTGATTTAATTTTCTTTTTCAGTTTTCCATTATTTGCATTTTAAAAAGCTGCATTAAAATCTGTCACCCAGAGTAAATACAGCACGTCTGTACTGAACTGGTGGTAAAGTTAACACTAGTGGTGCGGAGTCAATTCCAAAAGAGTCGATTCTTCAGCTCCAGCTCATCTGGGAGTCGAGGTCGACTCTTAACCAGTGACTCTGATAGTCAAAATGCTTTAAGTCGACTCTTAGGCCCAGTCCCACTTCTCATTTCTACCCCTACCCCTTGTTTTCGAGTGCTGCCCCTTGGAACTGAGTTACAGGGTAGTGGTTGAAATCTTCCCTCTGAAATGGGACCCTCAAATAAAAAGAGCATCACTTCATTAACAGCTACCAGCGCTGCTCTGTAGGCGACCCTGCCAGTCTGCAGTGACAGCAGAGGAGGGTAAAGTTCAGCTCCTCACTGCTGGGCTTTAGTTACATTTAGGGATCATATGACTTCAAAGATGGGGGCAATTATTTATTATCACCCACCCCTAATTCTTCAGTGATATGAAGATATTCGTCAGCTTGGAACAGGAAACTTCAGTATACGACTAGTGATGTTTTATGCTCATTATGAAGAAAGCGACCATAATACATTAAAATGACATTAAACTATGTTAATACAGTAGTTATTGTAATTTTTAACAGAGAAAATTCTCACATTTGTGGGTTTCTTCGGTCTCT